ATTGAAGCAACTGCCATGTGATTGGTTGATTAGATAATTGCATTAATGAGAAATTGAACAGGTGTTCCTAATAATCCTTTAGGTGAGTGTATAATTATTATAATTTAAAAAGAGATATATTTTATCAGACTGACTGAGGACTTTAAAATATTTGGTACATTTGGAAAAACATTTAATGTATAAACATGCCATTGTGACAGTTTAAGAGTGAAGCAACAAACTAGGCCAAATATTTACCACAGTATATATAATCCATATACAGTACAGTGGCTTGCAGAACACCATGACATAATACCCTGCTCAATCATTCCATGCAAGTACTGTTTGAATTACTAGAATTCCCATAGGAAATTAAATAGAATAAAACTGACATGGCACTTTAAGCTCTTGTTGTTGCTTGTCAGCCAGAGATTCCTTCCACACTTTTCAGAGCCTGTCAACCAGCTGGCGCCTAAGGCCACCTTGCACAGAAAATGGGATGGAGCCAAAGAAAGAGCTAAACAGCTCCTGTGCCTGAACCTGAGCAGGGCAAGTATCCGATTACAGGCAGAAAATACCAGGAATCTACCACTCAGGGACATGGCAATGTAGGAAATGTCACTGACAAAGGTCACTGTCAGATACATTCTCTAGGTCCCTGTTTGATTGTTCTTTCTGTTTATTTTCTTTTTTACTTGACACAATCTGCTATTGTTTGCTTTAATAGAGAGTTATGCATATAAAAATGCTGTAGTTCAGTTTTCAATACCTATAACTTAACAGTGCAAGACCATAAGCCATGACCATAACCACAACCGACATTTTCTCATTTACTGTAATGGAATGTTATTGGTTTGTAGTAGATTCTCTTAGCTGCTTTTGAGATTTTTATTTTACTCCACTGATCTGTGGAGTCTAAAGATGGTCTTAAGATGTCTCTGTGTAAAGCTGTTTTTAAGGTCTCAGGTGAATGCTTTACTGTATGTCTTACCATATATTGTGTTGTGTATTTCTGTATATTTTGAAATGACAGTAAAGTCTGACCTCATTTGTTTTCAGATAAAAACAAAAGACATTTAATATAAATAACCTTTCAGTAAAACAATACCAAGCTTATTTAATGACAGCTTCTCATTCAAAGAAATAAATTTCACTTTAGAACTGAAACTGCCTTTGTTGTGGTTGGCTGTGTAAATGTAAATGTTAAATGCTGTGGAGAGCAAGATACCTCCGTCTTGAATAGGCTGCTGCCTCCCTCTGCTGGATTCAGAGAACCAGTGGAGATACTGCACACCAGAAGTATGTGCTTAAGTGTAAATTTCCCTACTTCTGGCACATAATCCTAGACTCCATGATTTTCCTAAGTATCTAAGAACGATGTGGCTCATATCGATTTGGTACAACAGCAAATGTTCTGAACAGTTTAGAAATCGTCATTAATATTTAGGCTCAATAACAATGGTCATGCCAAGGTGGGATTCGGACTCAACCCTGAACGTGTCCCACGCTGATCCAACGTGCCGCCCGTTCTTATAACCAGATAATATGACCTTCAAATTCTTATTTATTATTTATTTATTTATTTGTCCGTCCATCCATCCATTCACCCACATATCTATCTATCTATCTGAGGGGGCGCTGACTTGCCAGACACTTTGCCTTGCAGATGATTGCTTAGGGTGCCACTTCAGCTACGACTCCTACCACAGGAAAGGCATTTTCCTATCTGGATCTGTCACTGGTAATGGACATGCATCAAACGAATGTCAAAAACTGAGTTACATGAAGAAGCTGAGGATGCTGCCTTCTATCTTGGGAGATATTTCTGTGCATGTATCGTGGGTACAATAGCTTTTTCCTCCTAAGCCTGCCTGGACCACTGTCTCCATGGAGACCCGTTAGGCTGCTGCAGTATGTGTTAGAGAGGTGAATGCGTGTGCACGGATTTTGAACTCTGAATGTCAAAGCAAGAATCCTTTCTCAGCGTTTCGATGAGTAATAGAACAGTGTTAAACATGCTATTGCATCTATGAGTCAGATAGAGACTCTGCGTTCAAAAGATCTTTTTTGACGTTTTCTTTGCAGTAATTCACTTTAATATTATTAATTATGTAATAGTTATACACATACTAATTAGATACAGACATATTTTAAGTTGAGTTATGCCAATGCAGTACACACTCATAAATCTGAACGAGAATCGCCAGACCAGAGAGGCTTCAATTTTAAAAGACAAATTAAATTATATACAGAGGACAAACGCACTACTGAACTGAATTATTGCGAAAGGTTTATGTTTTCTTCTTTACGTTTATGTGACATTTTTGTTAAGTGGTGAGTGTTGGTATTCCGGCAGTAGAATTTCCCACAAAATAATAAATAAAAAATGGAATGCGTAAAATTTTGCTGTTAGAATAATCGTTTGACGTCCTCCTCACGCGTCAGAAATCGACGCAAAACTTTGTTGAAAGAAGAGGCGCTCAATCAATTCACTGAGAGACGTTTTCCTGACATCACAGCAGGTCTGCGCTTAACGCGGTACCGTAAAAAGACAAGAGGCTCATCTAGGGGTGGAACACAGCGTTTCCCAAACCAAGAAAGAGACTGTACATATATGGTCGCTGTAATGATTTAATACCATTGGATTCGGAAATAGGAAATAAAACCCATGTTCGGCAACAAAATGACATTGAATCAATCCAATTTGATTGGGCACATAGATGACCTGCAGGACCTTACCATCATCGAAAGACCAATACGGAGGAGTTTAAAGGTATTTCTGTCTATACAGGTCCAGTTATGCTCTGCATTAATCAGATTTGCCGAACTGAACGAGTAGTTGTACTGTAATAAGTGTTTCATTTGATAAATCATAATTGTATTTGTTGTTATTTCATCACAAATGTATTCAGTTCTTACGTGTTTTTTTTTCTTTTTTTCTCGTTAATTATGTAAACTAGAGATTCGCATGAAATTCAAAACTTCAATTGTAAATGAAATGCAGGTTATACTAACAATAGATTACATGTGATGCGATAACTCACAATATTTATTAAAAGGCATACTCGTTAAATTTTCTAGTTGTTTCACCAGTCGAATTTGTACTGAAGATCTATCAGTTATGCGATCTTGGCAAATATTTGCGCAGTAACATTAACCATTGAATGCAAGTATGCGTTATGCGTGAGGATGTTTGTTATGTGTCATAGGGGATGTATCCAGAAGTGTTTAGATGGTCAGTCCAAACCACTACCACTGCAGCCTTTAATGCAAAACGGGGATTGCCCACTTCGCCACCGTGACGCAGTTTCTGTCAGGGGTCTCTTCCACCAGCTGTGCCTCTCAGGCTTTCCGCTACAGATATCGTTGTTCGGTGTAAATCTTAAGGATTTCTTAAGCGGATACTTTAATAGTTTTTAATTTTATTAATAATAATAATAATAATAATAATAATAATAATAATAATAATAATAATAAAATACACTCGTTTTAACAAGTAGTCTCGACATGCCATTCTCTGTTCGTGTTCCCGCATGCAGTTTTAAACTGCGCATACATGTGAATATGTAAGGTTCAGATGCCGTGGGTGGGTATCTCCTGCTGACTGCTTCATAGGCGGAGCCAAGTAGCTTTCAGGAGCTTGAAGGTTTACAGTAGCAAAACACATCCCCCCTCTGCTGGCCAACGAACTCCCTGCTCTCTCCTGCTACACTGGGTAAGTAACAAAGGCAGAGGGGCTAAGTCACTTCAGTGGCATGCAGTACAGCCTGTGCCTCCCTCCCAAGGGTGAAACTCTGCCTAGTACTGCAAACTCCTACCTGGCTTCAGCACAGGGTGCCAGGACCTTTCACTGTTGAACACTTTTTCAAAAATCTGTCAATTTCTTTGCACCAAAATTCCTTCACCTGTGGGCACCTGTGCACTACCAAAGAAAATTAAATTGATGGTGGAGATGTGTGTTCCCATTTCTCTACTCTGATCATGGTTCTGTGTTTGGATAAGTTTCTAACTTAGGGAATTGTATTTGTTTTCCTTTTTTGTGTTCAGGTTTCTGAGCTGTTGTTCTAAATAAATTTCTTTAAATTTCCTACCTTTTAATTTTCTGTTTTCCTTCTCTTAGAGTGCAGAGGAGATTGAGAAGCTGACTGTGGATGAGGACCTAAACGATATTGAGCGAGCTGTGTATCTCCTCAGGTAATGAGGCCTCAGTGAGAATTTTATGCTTACATCTCCTTTTATGGCTGCATATTTACTGACGCAGGTAACGTTAAGTTTCACCCAGCATGAGGTCAGATTTGGACTCGCAGCCATTGTTTGCCAAGCCAAGTTTAGTTATCACTACTGCCCATGACTGAAGTTTTAGAAGATGTGACAATTTAAAGTTTCACTATGTTTCTTTACACTTTTTCTTAGAAAACAATAATAATGATATATCTGTTGCTGTGTGTCTAGAATGTAGTTTTCACAGTAGTGTGGTCAGCAGAAGGTAGAAAAACAGGATTTGTGTGCATCTTGGAGTAGAAAAGGGTTATGAGCATTTCAAAGTACAGTACCTGTTAATTTGTCTTAGAGAAATGCATAAAAAAGCAGTAAAATGTTTAGCTACTTTATTCAAAAGTTTAATTGAGCATGGCCTCACGATCTCAAGAGCTTTTGACATTCTGTAAATATATTTACCTTTTCTCAGAATGCAAGAAAGCATGGAGCAGAAAAGATGACACATTTGGGGAATAAAACAAATAGGTCAGTCAGTCAGAAGTTCAGGTCTGAGCCATGGAGGGTGAAGGAATTGTATGAAAATAAAGGCACATTTTGGGAATATGAGAAAACCTACCAGGACACCAAAGCAAACACAAAGTGACATGCTGCGGCATTTGCTTACTTTCTTCAAATATCAATGCATTTCTTCATTTTGCTGAGGGATGATTCAATCTCTGGCTATGTCTGCCTCATAGGTGCCTGCTGTGCCCTCTTAACACACTGTCTGTGATACAGAGTGAACTCTTCATTGTACCCAGAAGTGCTGTTTAGCACCACTCAAACCACACATTTGTGTGTGGTCCCTGAGGCTAGAGCCACAAATAGTCACTACACTGTCCATCCATCCATCCATCTATCCATCCATCCATCTTCTGAAACCGCTTGTCCTATTCTGAGAGAGAGAGATAAAACATCTGAAAGAAATTGAAATAGAAGAGCTTTGCATTTATGGTCCACTGGATAAACACAGACATAAGAATAGTTTTAGAGTCTAATGCTGAATGTTTATTGGTTTATAGCTATCATTTTTCTGCCTATACAGTATACGCTGTCATTGGTAAAGGAAAGCTTGAGAATTTTTAATAGAAATTTTAGCCTCAAATAAACCAATGCTGTAGCACTTCATTGTGTTTACGTGTGGGAGGTGTTCCAATTACACGATGGGCGCGTTGTGTATCAACTGTTTTGAAGGAGCTGGACATCAAACATACACATATAAACTTTTGTGAATATCAAATATGAAAATATCAAGCAATTGTCTTCCCAATAAATAGAATCCTACGTTTTCTTGTTATTTCTACTATAGAACTCCAGCCAATTTTTGAGTGTTTTTTTATCCCTTTTTTTGTAGGCTTATAATAAATTAATAATAAAATAAATATGTTTTCCCGCAGAAGGGTAGTATGTGGATCATTGCGGAAGTGAATATGCACTTTGTTTTCTGTCTAATGTGACTAATATCGACATTTCATGGATTACTACGGATGTGGTTCAGTAAAAATGTTCTTTTTTTACTCTGGAAAACTTTAGCACACAATGTTGCAACTTGGATGACCAGATCGCATAAGTTCTCTGAATTCCAACAACATGTGATTCATGGCTGTGTGTTATACCTATCCAAAGTTATGAGCCTGAGATTAATGAGTGCGAAAATTTATGAATTTCATGTTTATTGGGTTCTAAGGGTTAAATAATCACATTCCTCATTTAGAAGATGCAGAAGCAGTTTATTCTGCTACAATTTTCTGACTCTACTCACTAGTTGTTTGTTTAGTTTTCAAAGCATCTGGGGGTGGTGGGGGGCAAGCAACTTTTTGAGTGGTGCCCCAGAAACGAAAATGCCTTCCTTAGCAGTACCTGTCAGTTGTTCCAGTTCAGTGTTTAACAGATCAAACTCTGGGTGCCCCAACTGAATGGACCTATACAGTATGTCAACATGGGGGGTTTTCATGTTAATAGTCACATAGTGAGGACCACTCCCATATTTAAGGACGTGGAATGTTCTGGAATCTATCCTTTTGAGGTTCTGTTGTTATGTTAGTAAAAACTTTCATTAATTTGTAGCAAACCACAGCTATTATTATTTTTATTCTTACCAAAGAGTCCAGCAGCTGTTTGGTTTCTATTGCTTTCTTTTTACCCATTGAATGAATGAATAAGTGAATGAATAATAATAATAATAATTATTATTATTATTATTATTATCATCACTATTATTATTATTATTGTTGTTGTTATTGTTATTAATATTATATTGATGATGATGATGATAATGATGATGATGATGATGATGATGATGATGATGATGATTTTGGCTACAAGGTGACTGACAATTGCAGGCAGACCTGATGCAGATGGAACTAAGAAATTGCCAACTGGACAGTTATTTTTGTTGAGGTTTTACACACTGAATGAAGAGTAAGAGTAGTTCAGAAAAAGCCATGACCAAGGCAGCCTACGTGGCAATCTGCAATTCATCTTTCATTATTGAAAGAGCTGCTTGCGCTGATTAAGCTTCTGGCTGTCAGGGCCTATCACAGATTAGCTTTGTTCGCTATAGACAATAGATAAGAGTTCTGTCACCAAAGTAACTGATGAGTTTTCGGCTTTGAAAGGATAGGACCAGCGGGAGCCATATACACATTTCAAGCTGACAGAGGCACTGTGAAACAGAAAATGATGATGTAACTAAACCACAAAACTTTCAAATGGAACCTTATCTACAGTATACTGTAGTAAGCTATATAAAGTAAGGTATATAAAGACTCTTTGTGGACAAATGTTACAGAAAAATGCTAAGAATTTTGCTCTGGACATATTTAATTTATTTTTAATTAATACCCGGCCTAATATAATTGTCTCAAAGCACTTAACAAAGAGTCAAAACCACATAGATCTGACATATAACAGTTAAAGGGGCAGTTCACCCCAAAATCAAAAAAACACTTGTTTCAAACATGCTGTAGGGCTAGCTTCCCATTTAGATTGTTGTGGTGAGAGTTGAAATAGAAATTTCAGTCACAACACATCAAACATATTGGACCTCGAAACAGATGGGTTACAGCAGCAGAAGACCACATTGAGTGCCACTCCCTCCTGTCAGCTAAGAACAGGAAGCTGAGGCTACAGTGGGCACAAGCTCACCAACATTGGACAATGGAAAATTGGAAAAATGTTGCCTCGTCAGATGAGTCTCGATTACTGCCAAAATATTCAGGTGGTAGGGTCAGAATTTGGCATAAACCTCATGAAAGCAGGGATTCATCCTGCCTTCTATCAACAATTCATGCTACTGCTGGTGGTGTAATGCTGTCGGGGATATTTTCTTGGTACACTTGGGCCTCTTAGTACCAATTGAGCATCATTTAAATGCCACACCCTACCTGAGCATTGTTGTTGACCATGTCCATCCCTTTATGACAGTGTACTCGGCTTCTACTGCCTACGTCCAACCGGATAACACGGCAGGTTACAAAGCTCATATCATCTCAGACTGATTTCTTGAACATGACAATGAGTTCACTGTGCTCAAATGGCCTCCACAGACGCCAGACCTCAATCCAACAGAGCACCTGTGGGGTGTGGTAGAACGGGAGAGTCGCATCATGAAGGTACAGCCAACAAATCAGCACCGACTGCATGATGCTGTCATGTCAACAAGGACCAAAGTCTTAGAGGAATGTTTCAAGCCCCTTGTTGAATCTATGCTACAAAGAATTAAGGCAGTTCTGAAGGCAATAGGGGCTCCAACCTACTGTAGTACTAGCAGGGTGTACTTAACATTGCGACCAGTGAGTGTAATTAATTCTTGCAAGTACCATTGTATATATCTCCATTGTTTGGGTGAGTGGTTATACTCTCCACAGTTTGATAATTGTTAAGTTTTCAAATAACCTCTTTAGAAAGATTCCTGCTTTAAACAAAAACTGTATGTAGCATTTGTTGGAGAGTTAAGTTGTGTTACCAACCCAGCAATGAACTAGTCCAGACCTATGTGTAGATCCAACGAGAGCTCATAGTCCTCAAACTAGAGAATATACTTTTCCCTCATTAAATCACTCCTTTTCTCACATTATTATTGTTTTTCATTAGTGACTCTCAGTTCTCCAGGGTCACAAGCTCTGGATACACACTACAGGACTATAGCCCTGTAATCATTGCTAGGCTTCTACCACCTCCATTGGTTATATTGGTTCTTGGTTTTTGGTTATAAACAAGACTGATTCAACTTTTTATTCCTTACTCTGGGAAGCAATCAATGCTTGTCTTAGGGGTCAGATTATTATTTTTTTACTGCACTCATTGGCTTAAGTTCAAAACAGCTCTCCAATTCCTGTCTCAGCTGCAGTTGCCAATATGCCCTTATCCCAAATTGTTTAAACAGCATCTTGCTCAAATTGAATTTAGCCTATTGGCTATGGCAAATGATAATTCTGCTTTTACTGAGTATGATAAGAACATGGGCTCATGTTATTGCCCAACATAGAACCTCTTCTGTTATTTTAATGTCAGACCCACTTTAAATCAAATCTATTTTTAAGTCCTTTTCATAAATTCAAGTTTACCTTTGCTCCTATTGACATGATACAGGTTCTTGATAGTTGGCCCATAACAGCTGATGAACTTGATGCACCCATTCAGCCTGAATCAGGCAACACCTCTGGACTGGAAAAAAAAATGCTTCCCTTGCTTTTACTGGTATTTTACTTCCTTCTTTACAGAGACAGGCATCAATATCACAGGTTAAGTAGCCTCATTGTAATTCCTAAGCATTCATGAACCTTCTCAGCGTTAATGTAAAAGTTTTTTCACACCTTTTAATGTGATTTATTCTAAGCATTTGTACCTAGCTTTACCAGGGTGGTTGTCTCATTTGATGCCGTGAATGACTTGTGCAATGAAGTGGTACTTGCTTTTTGCTTTTCTGAAGAAAT